AAAGAAACACTGACTGAACCACAGATCTGTGGCCCAAGCACCCAGCCAGAGATAACAGAATAGCCCTGCTGTAACCCTTAGTTTCATAGCAACACCTCTACAAAGTGCGTGATGGTATAATCATTTTCCTGGTTAGCAATAAGGAATGGGGTCTGGGAGAAAGAATGGGAAGGCTCTGGACCTAGGTCACTCAAGTGTCAGTGGCTATATTAGGGTGTACCTTCCTGTCTGGTCTTCCCACCTTGCCAATCTTTCCCTTCCTGCCCTAACCAGCTCTTCATTCACAGCTACTGCATTGCTAACAGCCCTCATTGAGTCTGATTTTGTTTTTAGTGAAAGGCCCACAAAATACTGCTGGCTGTTTGTGCTTCTTCAATCAGGGCCTGGCCCATTTTCCAATTACCAGCATCATTTGGGCTCCTTTCCTCCAACTCTGAACTTGCTTGAGTTCAGGTCATCTTCAGCTGATGCATTTACATGAGAAACGGATGATCTGTCACATCTGTCAGTGTGCCAGCCTCCCCCTCCCTATCAGATAGCAAGTGAAATGGCAAGTGTTTCCCTGGGTTCCCAGGCTGCTGGCTGCAGAGGTGGAGCAGCAGGTCCCAATGGGAGCCACAGTGCAAGCCCTGGAGGCTGACCGACATGCTGGCCTTCACTGTGCTGGCCGGTGTAACCTTTTCCCAGCTTCTGAATTCCAAACTGTATTCCCACTAAGAGGACTGAGAGGGTGACCAACTATCACAATTTGCCTGGGACCAAGGGTTTTCCCCATGACATGGAATTTTCAGTGCTAGAATTGGTAGGGGTGGTCACCCTGTTTGGCATACCAGGACACAAAGGCAGTGTGAGAGCATTCGACATTCCCTGGGTGATCTATCTGGAATCTGGGACAGAGATCATTGAAGGCTGTGGCCACCTTTTTCTCTGTCATGTCTGAAGCTTACAGTGCTTCCCTTCACTCATTTATGCCTTATTTTGTTTTTAATCTCTGTTACAAATTGGATAGGGTAAAGTATAATTTCCAAAAAGTAAATGGCTAAGTGAAGGTACAAAGGAATGGCGGGGGGTGTAATCCCTTTGTCCCTAAAGTACTCTTCCCAGTTCAAAAACATATTAGGTATTTATGATGAACTAGGGACCATGGATGTTTATGTCCTCTTATTCCCAGTCCTCAGAGAGCTGACAGCCCCATGGGAGAGACTGATTTAAGTACAATTAATTATACTTGCTTCAAGGCTACCTAGGGGTTCATTAAGATGGAGAAAAGGCCGAGAAACCTAGGGAAGAATTAGGGTAATTCTTCCATACTATGTGCTAAGTACATTTCTTACATTCATGATGTCATTTAACAGCTAATATTTCTTAAGCATTTACCATGTCACTAACCCATTTCATTTTTAGAACTCTATATACTTACTCCATGAATGAAGAAAATGGGGCTTTGAAAAGCTAAGTATCCTTACTTAAGGTTGCAAATTAATAAATGAAGAGTCCAGGGTGGGAACCCAGAGAGTCTGAGTCTTGTCTCCTGCCTTGTATGACACTGAATCTCCTACCCTTCAGTGTGCTGGATCCTCAAAGTAACCACATGCCAGATACTCAATCAACGTCAGAAGAAAGCAGCTGGTTGGTCTCTGGGAGCAGAGGGTGGCTGTGCGTGATGGAAGCACAGAGGAAAGAAACGTGGTGGGTCTCTGAGTTCTACACTGGAATCCCAAGGCATGACTCCAGGAGCGCACCACTGGTGGTGTGAAACCTCTGGGAATGCTAATTTTCTAAAGAAAACTGTCTGGACAAAGGCTGCCCTTCTGGCCCCTGGCTCTAGTAGAGTCTAAAGAATGTATGAACAGAATGTGAAGGCACAGACTAATTTCTTCCTTATCCTTCCAGGGCTGAAGTTGGGAGAGATTCATTATATTTTATTTCCCAGCCTGCTTTATAAGCTTCTGGAGAGCCCATCTTTCTTATGCATGTAGAATATTTGAGCAACTTGCTTTGTGCAAAGAGAGTACTTGAAATAGGCAAATCAGACAAAAATGCATTGATTTGATATGCCACATCTGATCATAACGTGTTCATTGCAACAGCAGACTCAGAAGTCCGATATTCCAGTACCATCAACTTACGTAAGTTTTCTCAATAATGATCCACAAGTGTAGCACTCTTCCTAGACATCAGATTAAGCATCCAGAGCCTGACATCATAACACATCCTCAAAAACTGTCACAGCATCTATTCTTGTGCTTTATAGGTTTTGGTTTGGGTGAAACAAATATATCATTTCAGAAAAATTAAGTATTAAAAAATACTAACATTAATTTCCCTATAACTATAATTAATAAAACATAAGTGTAGGAAGAATATTGTTCCTACGAAATTTATAGAAATAACAAACTTCTGGGGAAAAACTGATATTTTCTTGCCCACTTCCACTGTTAATAATTTCTGGTTAATATAATCATAGTTTTTCTCTCAGACCCCAAAGTGGGCCTGTTCAGGGCCTGCCTGTGACTCTGAGACTTCAAGTCAGCTCCTGGCACTGCGAGGTGCTAGAATTCCTGGGGCCGTTCTTCTTCAGTTAGAGAGAAAACAGATTTTTTTCTTTTCTTTTTTTTTTGATGGCAAAGAAAGGCTTTCTCTACTTGCTGACTTATACTCAGCTTTATCCTACAATGGTCTTTATGCTTCTGTGCATAAAGGAGAAATTGACTTTCTGCTCTATCCATCTGATGTTCTGTTACTTTAGCTCAGCAACACTGAACAAGTGGGCACTCAGGATAGGCCTTCTTTAAGGTGTGCCTTTAGGGAAGGTGTTTTTCTTCCACCTGTTGATGCTCACTAAAGGGAACTGAACTCAAACCCTTAGACGCAGAACCATGTCCCCCCACTTCTTCATTGACATGGCCCCTCTCCAATCTTTCTTTTGTCCTTGACATTTTATGAAATTAGCTTTATCAATGGTTTCCAGTCTTTTAACTTCCCTGAGTTATCCTGAGTTATTTGCGCAACCTTTTCTTCTTATGGTGGCTGTTTACCCTCAACAGCCTTTATAAAGAACAAACTAGTAAAACTCCACCATCAATGAATTTCAGTTTATTTCTATTTGAGTTTTCCAACTATGTACAGAGATAACTTAGTTTCTGCCCCCCACCCAGAGCTTTCTAGAAAACTGTTGAGAAAGAAAATGAAGAAGGTTAGCTTTTCTTTAGCCAATGATATAACTTTTTTGTTGTTGTTGTTTCAGGGATCGAATTCAGGCGTGCTTAACTAGTGAGCCACATCTGCAAACCTTTTTTTATTTTGAGACAGGGACTTGCTAAGTTTCTTAGGGAGAGTCTTGCTAAGTTCCTGAGGCTGGCTTTGAACCTGTGATCCCCCTTCCTCCACTTCCCTACCTGCTAGGATTATAGGTATGCACCAGGCTGATATATCTTAATTGTATGCAAAAAGTCGTGCTGTATTTCAGAAGAGTTTAGTGATGCAAAGAAAAAATATTTTTTGCCACGTACTCCCACAGCACGATCATAGATTGTGAACTGAGAAATTCTAAAGGTGACATAAAGTTCATCAATATCTTCTTTGCCAAATACAGGTGCCGTACTGTATTAAACATGTCTTTTATTTTTTGTATTTTGGTTCTTTTACATCTGGGCCCTATTGATCCTGGAGGTGCTGCCTCTCCCAGCAGCACTGGCTAATTCCTAGAGATAGTAAACAGCTCTTACCCAAACTGTTCACACAACAGCCAACACAAACCAGCCAATCCAGAGCCCACCTCCTCCATCAGGCTCTCACACCAACAGCCCCAGGGCCAGGACCAGACAAGTAGGGACAGCTCCTGTGCCCCAGAATCTGCTGAGATTATTCAAACTAGTGAGCCCTAAACCTGTTTATCCTGCCATTGCCATTCCTCCTCATGGAAACTCCAGAAAAGGCTCTTGCCCGTTTTTTCCTTGTTCCCTTGGTCTCCTGGCTGACCCTTGCTTTTGGGTTGTGTGAGTATTAACAAAGTCTTTTCAATGGCAGTTGTCTGACCTGTCAACCTAGATGTACCTACATCATAGAAAACCTATAATTAAAAACATGTAAATAAGGAGATTCGGGGTAGCAAAAACAGATATCCTGTCCCCAGCATTCTGGACGTCACTCAAATAAATTTAGATGAAACTTTGGTTGCTCTGTGAGCTGTACTAAGCAAAACTACCACATTAACTGTTTTAAGAAAGAAACATTGATTTTAATACAAAGCAAAGTATGCTACTGGATAAGAAAGTACTCCATCAAGTGGAAATTGCTATGATTAAAGTGTTCACATTAAAGTACCTACCGATTCCAAAGGGGATGGGGTTTTTAGGGTCCTAGAATTCCAAAGCACCCCTTGAATCCAATGGTGAAAGTAGCTTAGAAAGAAAGTGAAAATAAGCTTCATTCACCTATACACAAATCCTAATGCTTCATCTTCAGTGTTCTGAATTCTAATACATTCACTATAATTTCACTATAGTGGATTCATTGTGAAGGGCAAAGTCTCTATGGCACTAATTCTTGTTTAAGGCTTACTTCCACTCTTTCTCAAAGGCAATTTTACTTAACTTTGTATGCCCAGCAGCTGGCACATAGTAGGTGTTAAAATATTCATTTACTGATAGAGGAAATATTTCTGAAACATCCTTGTGAATAATGTAAGCGATACCATGAGAGATCCAAGATGCCCCTTTAAGATATTAAGTAAGTAAGTGAATGGTTTCAGAGTTGAGAATTAAAGCTACTTCCTCCAGCCCAAACCACCATATCCCCCCTACATTATGCCACCTCTCAGGGAGCAATCTCAGACACTTAATGGCAACAGTGGACATCTTGGAGTCTCTGGGCTCAGCTGACTACTGAGCCCTCTCATTCTGCGACTCTCCAGCTAACATTGTAGGCATTTTCCATGGGCCTGGCAATGCACTGTGACAAATGGCTGAGCTCCTGGGGGTGATTTGGGTAACACTTACCAAGGGCTCTAGCTCCTTGCGGTCTATGAGGTTCATCTCTGTGACGAAGTAATAGAAGTGTTTGTAGCAGGTGTTGACGTGAGCCTCTGCGCCCATCACAATGACCCGGTCAAAGTGGTGGATGTAGACATGGACGAAGACTCGGAAAAGGCGGCACAGGATCTTCTTGCAAATCTGAAGGAAGTTCTTTGGGAAGGGAACACCTAGAGAAGCAAAGAGGGAAAGGCGTGAAACCACAGTGGTAGGAGGGAGCAGTGGGGAGGTGGCAAGTTGGAAGTGCTTTTCTGTTTCTGTCCAAGGGACAGCTGCTGCACTCTAGCCCAAGAGGCCAGAAGGGGATGGAGGATCAGGGTTATTAGAGCTTCTGATTTCTCAAGATAATGCAGAAACCTGCTGTTTTATGTGAGTCTGCTGTGTTTTATGTGAGTCTGCTGTGTTGTTTTTTTTTTTTTTTTTAAATGTTAAGTGGAAGTTTAAGAAAAAAAATACAACACTAAATAGATGATAAAACAGAACATCTCTCTAGATTAGGCTTGGTCTGCAAGCCAGCTTGTTTGCACATTCTGGTCCAAAACCTCTCCCAACGTACATTGTTTCTGAGGTGGGCAAATTCAGCAAACTCCCCAGATACTATGTATTGGTAAGAGTTAGGGGTTATGTTTCCTAAAACAGAAAGGGGGAGCGACTAGAGAGTCACTCAGATTTCCACTGCTCTCAACTTGGCCAAAGCAGCACAGGGCAGCGTGGCAAGCCCACCTCCTTCCTCCCTCTCAAACACTATTTAAATTCTTATTATTTACACTGTCTTTAAGTGGTACCATGTTGTAATGGATTCCTAAGTTAAACAGACTTTGTTTGAATTCTTATCTTCTCCTTTTCCAGCTGTTTGACTGTGGGCACGTTATTGAACCTCTGTTTTCTCGTCTGTAAAAGAGAAATGGAAACGAAACAAAGCAGTCATAGTAAGACCCTCCATGCAGTTGGGAGGATGTTACCATGAGTAAGAGCCTCTACAGTGCCTAGAACACTACAGGAACTCACTCAGTGGGACTCCCTACTCTTCTTTCTGCAAGGTAAGGTCCGGAGCACTTAGCTTCTGGAAAACTTCCTCATCAAGAAAAGACAGACAATGACCAGCCTTTCAGCAGAATTGCAGAGCTCTGCTCAGGGAATGCCCCAGGTTCCCAGGATGCCCAGAGTTTTGCTGTCCTTGCCTCCACGGGCACCTGGGGCAGTTGCCTGCTGTGAGACTCTGTAAAGGGATCACCTGGGTCCCTCAGGGCAGGATGAGAGAGACAGGGCACAGCTGGCAGTCGGCAGTGACAGGATCTGCCTTCCCCAGGGTCCCCACACTGATATTGGCTTTTCTTTAAAAACAAAATGGCAATATATCAAATGAACCCAGGGAGAGTCTCAGGCAAGGCTTGGCATCTGACTCTCTGGGTAACAGATGCTGGGGTGTGGGCGTAAGGGTGAGGTAAAGCCAGGGGGAAGGTGGAGGGCAGCCACTTGCACAGCCTATGGGCTTTCTCTGCTGGACCAGGGCCGCTGAACCCCTGCTGCAGGTTAGGGAGGGTCTGGAGCCTTCCACAAAGCCCAAGTCCCAGAGGGGATGGAATCCCTGCTAAGATAGGTGTGTTGACTTCAGAAGGTGAGTACTGTAACTCTTGTCAGATGGTTAATAAGTGTTTATCTTGACAACCCATCTGTGAAGTAGATCTTATTAGTCCCATTTCATAAGATGACCAACTCTGAGACTCTGAAGCATGATTCAACTTGCTAAAAAGTGGCAGGTCTGGGATTTAAACCAAGTCAGTCTGATTCTCAAATCCAAAGTTTGAGTACATCAGGAGTGTGACTGGCTCTCTTGCCTGGGTTAGAGGCACCACACAAAGGGGAACCTGAGGCTTACTCCTGTTTTTTTTGTTTGTTTATTTATTTGGTTTGTTTGTTTCTTTGGATTGAACCCAGAGGAACTTAAGTACTAAGTCAAATCCCAGCCTCTTTTTATTTCTTATTTTGAGACATGGCCTTCCTAAGTTGCTTAGACTTTGCTAAATTGCTGAACATGCTTTGAACTAGCGATCCTCCTGCATCAGCCTCCTGAGTCACTGGGATAACAGGTGCACCACACTGCACCCAGCTGAGGTTAACCCTTCAGTGGTGCAGAAACATAAGTATGTATAAGAAAAGAGATGGAGAAAGAAGGGCCCAGAAAAAGTCCACAGGGTTGAAAACCACATCTGGAGGCAATAGAAAGTCAGCTAATGTACTCTGCTGCCTACAAGGAAAAATGTGCTTTTCTTTCCCAGGCCTTACAACCGTGGACCTGGGGCTAAGAGTGAAAGCTAATATTTACTGAGCACTTAATATGTTCTAGGGCCCATGCCAAGAGCCTGGTAAGTGCTGATAGAGCTCTCAGAACAGCCCTTAAATTATTATTTCCATCTTAAATTATTATTTCCATCCCACAGATGAATAAATAGACTCAGGAAAATTAAGCAGCAGCCCAAGGTCACCTAGCAGGCAAACAGAGGAGGTATTTGCACCCAGGTAGCCTGACTTCAAAGGCATGAGCCCCCGGTACCCTGAAACCCAGTGATGCTGCTCTAGGGCTCTACCCACACCTCCAGCTACACAGACCTTCCTTTCTGGGTTACCTGGACTTCTTCAGCTTACCATTCCCTCCCCCTGGCTCTCTAGTCTGGTGGAGGATCACCAGTTGCCAGGGGACATGAGGAGTTCCAGCTGTGCCAGTCCCTCTTCCTGGCCCCAAAGGCAGTGCCTGCACCCTATGTGCTAACCACAGTGAGGCAAAATCAAGGACAAACAGAGGATGTTCGCAGCAATTTCCGCATCCCTCCACCTTATTCCCAGGCTGCTTTTCTCCATCCTGCCTCTGCTCAGCTCTGAACTCCTGGGCTCTGTCCTCTGTTTCTTACCTGGTCTCTGGCCTTGTCTATGGCCTTGATGGCATTTGCCCTTGTCACTTCCCTTTGGGTTATAGCTTTAGTGTGATTGAGAGAAATTGATTCTGGAGTCTGGCAGACCTAGTTTCATATCGTAGCCCTTCTGCTTACTGGCTGAATCAGCAAGTCAAGTCATATAATTAATCTAGTTTATTATAAAATTGATAAACATATTTACTTTATAGCATTCTTATAACAATATATATGTTGTGCTTGGACCTTTGTAGGAACTTTAGAACTAAGCTTTACTTTGTTATTTTCTATCTGAATTCCTTGGGTAGATAGGTATTCTGGTTTGGATCTAAAAATGTCTCCCAAGAAGCTCATATGTTAGGTAATGCAGCAATGTTCAGAGGTGAAAAGACTGGATTATGAGAGTTGTAACCTCATCAGTGGATTAATCCCATTTGATGGGTTAATAATTTGAATGGACTATTGGATAGTAACCGTAGGCAGGTGAAATGTTGCTGGAGGAGTAGGCCATTGGGGGGATGCCCTTGGACTATAAGTGTCATGGCCCCTCTTCCATTCTCTTATTTTTGGACACCATGAGCCGAGCAGCTTTCCTTTGTCATGCCCTTCCAACATGACGTTCTGCCTCACCTCAGTCAAGAGCAATGGTATCAACTAACCATGGATGGAACCTCTGAAACTGTGATCCTAAAGTGAACTTTTCCTTCTCTAAGGTGTTCTTCTCTGGTATTTTGGTCACAGCAATGAAAAGTGTAGGACCCCAGGCTCGGAATCTCTTGGTTCTGGCTACATGGTGGGCCTGACTTGCACTATTCCTTCCCTTGTGTGTGCTTTGTTCTCTAAGAGTGAAAGCTGAAAACGGCTCAAGTCAAGACAAGCTCAGCAGGCATGACTGATCACCCCAGGCCAGTTCTGAAAGCTGAGCAGCAGTTGGGCATTCTAGGGAGTCTGGAGCCAAGGGGGTTTTCCCAGTAAGCTAGAGATAAGATGCAGGCCACAGAATGTGGGGTTCAAAATAGGAGAGCTACAGGCATTTGAGAAACTTGTTTGATCACTCAGGAGCCAGTTCTATAGTCCGTATACTATGTTAAGCCTTTCCTCCCTTTCTCTCTTGCCTTCCAGACATTCAGATGTGTGTGTGTGCGCGCGCATGTGCACATGAATGTATTTTAAATGAACCTTCAAAAGATGGGAAGTAGAAAGGATCATTCCCCTAGATATAAAGAACCTGTATGAACCTCCTCTTTGGAAGATTCTGGAATTTTTCATCCTGTGTAACTGGCCTTATGGCAGCAAGATAAGGCCAGAGTCAATCCACTGACCCAATCCCTTCAGTGATAGAATACTGACTGATCTATTTTCTTCTTGGTGCTGCGAGAAAGTATCTAGTCTTCATTAATCAGCCACAAAAAAAGGGAACCCTGAGTGATCCTGAGATATGCACGGATGTCAATTAATTCCAGAAACAACCTGAGCAGTGGTATTGTTATTTCTGTATGTCAAAACAAGGAACCTGAGGCTTAGCTCAGCTAAAGAACATTTGCTTCATGCCACACAACTAAAGGAGATGGAATAGAGATCAGAGCCCAAGCTCATGTGCATCCTGTGCTTTCTGGTGCCAGGGGACAGATGATTGAGTGTCACTTAGCTTACCTGTTAAGTGGTGTCACTTAGCTTACTTGCAGAAGAAGCTCAAAAAAAAAATTTTTTTTTTAAATATAGTAAGAAGAATGAAAGGCTAATGGATTATCTGAAATGGATGCCTGGCTATTGACAGGGGCAGCCTGAATATGAGCAGTGTATTCATGGTGGAGTCTGAGCCAAAGGCAGTGTGTGGTCCACAGGGCACCATTCACTTTCCTCCTGACCAGAGCCAAGCCCCTCCTTCCACCCTTTCCACTTCTTTTGAGTATATAATATACTATGTGCCCTTTACTTCAGGATTTTTCAAGATGTATTTTTTAAAAAATCATAATCCTGGGAAATTCTTGACTGAAAAGAGAAGGCCATGAGTTCAAACATATTTGCAAAAATGCCATTTTCGTAAAAGTTTATAATATAGCCAAGTGTAGTAAAGGATCTCAGAATACCTGTAGCAAAAAATCCTTTTCCTTATAATACCTGTTGGTTTAAAACAGTCTATAATCAGTCTGCTCAGGTTTCATTTCTGGCTTTACCACGTAATAACAATGTAGCCATCCATATGCAAATGGTTTAGTCATCCTAAACCTCAGTGTCCTCATCCCAAAAAACCCAGGATA